TTTAAAATGTAAAAATGTCATCCCGAGCGACGCCGGGACGGGCCGCTAGTAGATAATAAAATTCTATTAACATTCCAAATAATAAGTTTGTAAAATTATTTGCATAATACGTTTGATTAAATGGATTGAGATAAGTTACCTAGGTACCTAGAAAAATAAATATATTTTTTTTATACAACTTAGAATGGCAAACAAGCTGACGGCCCACCTGATGGAAAGTGGTAACAGTCGCCTATAGACACGAGCAGTATCATGGACATAACAGAGTATACTGTTTCGCCCATGATACCCCCCATGCGTTGCCATTCCTGTGGACTCAGGTGTTATTCCTCTGTACCCTGTAAATTCACGCCATATCCCCACCCTTCAAACCGAAACACAGCCATGCAAACACAACTGCTTCACGGTAGAAACACGAATGGAACAGAGGTACCCAAGCAATCGACTTTTGTACAAAGTCTCCCTCTGGTAGCACATTTAATATAACTCACGCAAGCGAAACCACGAGATACCGCTTGTACAACGGATTGTGCTAAGAGGAATTGTTCAATGTGATGCCTACGGCCACTTTCTACCATCGTACGGCTCGCCATCGACAGGGAGTTCACCCTCATACCCTACAGCCTAAATGGTCGCGTACAGCGCGGTTTCAGATATGTTTTCTCCCACGAACACTCAGGTTATGGAATGAACTCCCTACCTAGGTTTTCCCAAGAGACTTCAGCATGAGGTTCTTCAAAAAAGGGGTAAAGAGTCAAGGTCGGCAACGCACGCGTAATACCCCTGGTATTGCATGCGTTCATAGGCTACAGTAACCGCTTACCATCAGGTGGGCCGTATGCTTGTTTGCCACCTCAGTGGTATAAAAAGAAAAGATACAGCTGGTGAATTAATAATTAAATATTACCATTAGTTAGCCATAATTTATTTATTTATTTATAAAAGACACACCAACAATATGCTCACAACAACTAAGCAGACAAAGTACAATGTTATAAGTAAGTAAAAAGTGAAAAATTACTATTGAAAAATGCTTAAATCTAAGTTTACTTTAACAAAAACAGTTGAGTTACTTATATATGTCAACATATTTATTATTTTTTAATAGAAATATCTATAATGCTTTCTCCTATTATTGTAGGCATACTGCCCGCTAGTAATTAATGCTCCTTTCCACTCAGGGTTTGCTGGAAGAGAACTCTTACAGAGTTAAGCTCGCCTGTTGTATCTCCATCCATCTTTATTATATATATATATATATATATATATATATATATATATATATATATATATATATATATATATATATATATATATATATATATATATATATATATATATATATATATATACATTATATGTTGTAATTTTTTGTGTACAATAAAGAATAAATAAATAAATAGAACATCTCACTCCTCTCTACCAAGCTTAAGGCCATATGAACACATCAATTAAAGGTGTATACAGCTCTCACAGACAAGCGTCAATGTATACTAAGTAACAATTATACAATTAGAGAAGACCTAACTACCAATTCATATTATTAGTAAGCCCAGTAAACTGCACTAAAGAATTACCAAAGATGTCGGTATCATGGTCAACGTTTACGGCTTTATTATAGGATGATAACATACTTTTGAGGGGAGAATTGGATCCTAAGTTAGTATGACAAGCGTATGTTCAAAATGTGTGAACTATTTTAGCAGATCTAATATTGAAATTACGTGGTATAATTAATTCCAACCGTTTGAACTCCATTGAAAACAAAAGTGAAACGGATTGTTCTAAATAATGGTATCGAATTAGGGCAGTGTTATAAATGAACGCAACGGTAGACAGCAGTACAGCAGTGAGCGCCCGTCGCGTCGACACGATGCGCGGTGTCGCTATGGTAGTGGGCGTCGCGTCAAACAATGTTGTTCAAGTCAAAATGTATGTATGGTTTTTTCAACCGACTTTAAAAATGGGAGTTCTCAATTCGGTTTTTTTAATGGGTGATAATAAGTATGTGTTAGCCCATCGTGATGAATTCCAGAGGTATTCATCACGATTGACTAACTAACCTGTCTTATATTCACCTGTCATCCCTCTCTGGTGCCCCGCCAGCGTATAACGTTAGTGTAGGTGGATAACCATTGCATTAGGGGGGAAAGGGATTGTTAGTAATAGAGACTGAGAATCCCATTGCTAGCAATATACCCAACCAGGTCGACCTCGTCGCGGTTCCCCTGGAAATCATGGTTAATTCCTGATGAATTCATCATGATGGGCTAACTGACCTGTTTTCATTCTCATCTATCACCCTTCACTGGTGCTCCGCCAGCGTATCCCGTTAGCGCAGGCGGGGCTACCATACCATTTTCACACTATAAAAAAAAACCATTGCATTATCACCCTTTAAAAGATATTTGCTAGCAATGAGACTTTTAGACCCCATTACGGCGGTGTCATCGTTACGCAGTCATTATTCCTAATTGCACCTAAATAATTATATAATAACTGACCCGACCACAAGATAATTTAATTATGTATAACGGTAATAAAAATAAAAAATCAATTTCTTAAATGATTTATTACGGATTTCATTTAGAGGTTTTTCTATGATAATTTCAACAAAATTTGGTTACATTTTCAGTTAGTTCTGTTTAAACAAATTATTGTTTTTACAATATTTAATTATTCTTTTTATCAACTAAGAATAGCAAAGAAGCTGACGACCCACCTGATGGTAAGTGGTAACCGCCGTCTATAGACATGAGCAGTACCGTGGACATAACAGAGTGTACTGTTTCGCTCATGATAGCCCCCATGCGTTGCCATACCTAAGGACTCAAGTGTTATGTCTGTACACTGTAAATTCACTGCTATATGTATATATATTCTTTATTGCACTAAAACATACAGTAACAACAATAAGTTAATAACAATGTTAGCAAAGGCGAACTTATCTCTAAAAGAGATCTCTTCCAGTCAACCTAACGCAGTATATCCCACCCTTCAAACCGAAACACAGCCATGCAAATACAACTGCTTCACTGTTGAAACACGAATGGGACAGAGGTGCCCAAGCAAACGACTTTTGTACAAAGTCTCCCTCTGGTTTACTATTTTAGATGCGAACAGAACAAAATGTGTATGATCTACATTAAAGGTAGTTAATATATGTAGTTGAAGGGTGGGATATGGCGTGAATTTACTGGGTACAGAGGAATAACACCTGAGTCCTCAGGAATGGCAACGCCTGGGGGGTATCATGGGCGAAACAGTATACTCTGTTATGTCCATGGTACTGCTCATGTCTATAGGCGACGGTTACCACTTTCCATCAGGTGGTGGTGGTATAAAAACAATGTGCTGAAGTAGTAAAAATAAATTATATGTATATCAATCGATCTATCACAAGGTTAAGAGACCCACCAATTAGTGGTATCAATAAATACACCTAGATATAACGCAATTACTTTAAACGATCAATAATCAATAATCTCCTCACGGCCATATTCAGTTTAACTTAAATTCTATGTGAAGGTTAACGAACCCTTCACACCGGATTCGAGTAAAAATGTGCACTCGCTTATTCGAGCTTCACATTTTAATTTTCAGAAGTGATAACAGATATAGAAAGTTGTGGGAGTCACAGTATAATTTTATATGTATTACTTATCAGCATCACCTTCCTACCCTTATCCCAATTATTATATGGGGTCGGCGTAATATAGTTTTCATCTATGTTACAAAAAGATTTGGCTTTTAGTTTCACAACCGACCGCCTGCTTGACGTCAACCCTCTTTGGGATCTATGCATTAATTATATATTTAAATAATTATTTGGTTTGGTCATTTGGAAAGGATGGATGAAAGAAGAATTACGAAAGAGATTTATCGAGCAAGAATGAATGTTGATGTCGGTAGGGACCGCCCTAGACGGACGTATGTTGACCAAATAGGCGACGTGCTGAAGAAGGGCCAAATTAAAAGTACCCGTAACCGGCGAGCGTGTATGAATAGATTGATGAATGGGGAAGAAGCGAAAGAGGTTTGTTTGAATCGAAGCATTTGGCGTTCCATTGTTTGTGCCTACCCTAATGGGAGACAGGCGTGACAGATATGTATGTATGTATGTAAAATAATTATTTATTCTGCTGCCTTTGGCCTTACTGCGGTTGCCAACCAGTTTGCCAAGTCTGGGAACTACTGGCAAACCTCTTCTTATAGGGGAAGCTTATATTTAGCAGTGGATAATTAAAAGCTGATATGATGATATGGAGAAAAGTGATAATGTGAACAACTAGTCCCATTGCTAGCAATACACCCTGTCAGATCGACCACTACATAGTCCCCCCTGGAAACCATCGTGCTGAATTTCAGGCATATTCATTACGACAGACTAGCAGACCTGTCTTTTTATCCTCACCTATCATCTCTCTCTGGTGTCCCTCCCCCCAGCATATATCGATAGCGCAGGCGGGGTTACCATTTTATTATCATCTATTAAAAAGGCCTTGATGATCTGATAATGCTAGCTTTAAAAGGTTCATGACACCTTAGTCCTAAGAAATGGCAAATCATGAGGGTTCCAATATATTTTTCTGCAATATTTATTTTACATTTCTATATACAATTAACTGACAGGCAACTAACTAAAGAGTAACTGTTGGGCAACAGTTGTCTTTCATTTACCACTTTCTGGTAGAGTCTCAGTTAAGTTGCGTAAAAAAATACCCATTATTCAAAGTTTGGTGTTTAAATTGTACTGCAACGTTAAGTGCTTAAATGTCTTTCTCAGCTGGACTATTTCAATTCAGTTTAGAGTTAAACAATTGCTTGTTATCGTAAGCCGTTGCACCAGCTTAGCTGGTACCTGGCGTCGGATATAGATTAGTAGTACCTTGTCGGTATAAACAATGCATTCTAGATCTGCCGTCGGTATGCACGTACGAAGAACGATGCAACAGCGACTGTAACTTCAGTTCTATTTTCGAAGCCAGTGTCGCGGACCGATACGCGCATGACCGGCCTATCTGAGTCCGTCTCTAGCGTATAGTCAGTCCGCACGCCGCAGCTGACAGCGCGGTCGCGCGTCGCCCGCGACCCGTCGAAATATAATAACAAACCCGACCCGTACCGCGGTCCGCGATCGTGTGCACCGGCATTATCTAATTTTATTCCAAATTCAAATCCAAGTGTCACTAGTGCCATCTGTTGTTCAAGTACAAAATGAGGCGTAACGTCAAGATATTGTTCCTTATTGGGGCAGTGTGGATTTTCTTCCTATTCTACTACATGCAGCCTGATTCGGCACAATCGAAGGTAAGGCACTAAGGATCCGTGGAACGCTGCCAATTTCGTGTGGTGCTTTGTTTTGTTGTAGATCAGCTGATAGGTTATGGACCTCTGCAGCTAGCCGGCGTGCAGTGCGCATGATCCGCCCACGCGCTGCGATAACTGCATTGACAGTTCACGATTTGAATGTCGAATGTTATTATTTTTAATTTTTATAATAAAACTCTTTGTTTAGAATCACAAGTGAAAGCTTTGTTTTCTCTTGTTTTGTGTACAATTTCGTTTCACCTTGACCTGGAACGCGACCACTGAGATCGCAAACATTCGAGTTAGATACAGTTAATTGCAAAATAATGACCTGAGAACTATTTGATAAATTCATGAATACAATTAGCTTTTTTTTTATTTATCTCGTATGTCCATTTATAAATTAACAAAACATTATGTGAAATATTTAACCTAATAATTTTATTTGCTCTTTTTAACTTTAAAACAAAAACGGTAATTTTGTTACCGCTAGATACGTTTTTTGTGTAATATTTAACAATCATTGAATTAATAAAATTAACTTAATTTTCTTTAACGATGGTACTTTTGCAGAAATTAATAAATTCATGGCGTGTAGGTTACAATTTACAATCCTTTACCGACTTACCTTGAGCCAACGAAAACCTGTCACAATTCTCTAAAGTTCACGGTCTTTTATTAAGCACTACACAAGTAATATTATTTAATAGCATATAAGACATATTATTCTTATTAAATTAAGCACTTGATAGTTGATAACAGATAAGATTTTAAATTTCCTGCTTTAACACCATTCCAAGATCTGCATTCTAAAACGTACTGTTATTTTGCGGAAATTTGTTTTCCTTATTAGATTGCTTACGGAGGAAAGCCGGTATAAGCCTAGTTTGGGTGATTTAGTAATATAATTGAGTACCTAAGACGTACCTATCTAATCAATAAATTGTTTTCAAATAAAACTTACTAAATTAAACGCTCTTCTACTAAAATACTAAAACGATGTGAACTACGAAAGCGTAATCTGAACCTACATCTTCTACCTTCACCTGAAAGATGCTAATGGATTTAAAACAAATATCAACTGAAATGCTTTATTTTCGGTTGTTTGTATTTTATAGATTTTTTTTTGTAATTAAGAATAGCTTAATAAATATTTCTTTCTTTCTTTCATTCAAATTGCCAAAACAGTGTGAACTAGGGTTTACTAGTCTGAACGCCGTACGTTCATTAGCTCTTGTTCGATTAATTACCCGATAAAGTATCAGTTAAACCATGAGTTACAGCGAGTGTAGAGTTACTAACTGGTAGACGCATAGTAACTAGGCTATCAAGTTAAGGTTATAAGATTAAAAATTATAAACTAGGCTATAAAGGGATACCACTTTCAATTTTTTTTTTCATTCTGTCTTTATGTAAAAACAATAAATGTGTCATCTCTTTCCTTCAAGAAAAAGACCTAATTTGAAAAAAAAATATAAAACTATAATTGTTAAAAAAAAAAAAAAAAACTTAATTCATAACAAAATTAATAGAGGACAAATATGGAAGCACATTCTATTGATTAAAAAAAATAATAATGTCTGTTCAGAATTGGGAAAGTATCAAGAACAAATGTCGTATGTCTTGGTACTTACTTCACTCTATACTCTATATTTATACCCATTCTGGGGCATACGAAAAACTTGAGAATAAGCGGAAAAGTTAGAAGAAGACGAAGTGATGTTAATAGAAAGAGGCAAATATCATTTACGAAGTTCAACACTGAGGAGGGTGCTTCGATCAATATTGTTCTGTAGGGGCGTGCGAGGGAGAAAGCATTTCCATTCAGGCGTCCAATTCATATTTTAGATTATAAATTTGCTGTTATAAATTAGTTGAATATACAACGTTTAAGTTCGAAAAACAAAAATAAATTTATTAATAATAAATGTAAAGTTGTTTGAATATTTGTTGCTCAGCAGTATAGAAATACAACGTCTAGTTAACATGCCTTAATTTTCCGCGTTGTTCTTAAAATTAATCTCATCTCACCGGCACTTGTAATGAGCACCTAATCAGGTCTTATCAGTAAAAATAGCTTCCGTTGTCTAGCAGCAAATATAGATAACAATATTATCCTCGCAGTTGCACCATTAGTGTGTTAAAATAACACGAGTGAGTTAAAATAACAAACGTTTAATACAAAATTTTAAAATTCATTAAGTATGCCACAATTGAACTGCAAAATTTCAAATATCCAAAACCGCTACGCAATTTATAGTAGATTTTTTTTATGCAACTTGGAATGCCAAACTGACGGCTCACCTGATGGAAAGTGGTAACCGTCGCCTATAGACATGAGCAGTACCGTGGATATAACAGAGTATACTGTTTCGCCCATGATACCCCCCATGCGTTGCCATTCCTGAGGACTCAGATGTTATTCCTCTGTACCCTGTAAATTCACTGTCATATCCCACCCTTCAAACCGAAACACAGCGATGTAAAAACAACTGCTTTACGGTTGAAACAGAGGTACCCAAGCAATCGACTTTTGTACAGTCTCCCATTGTATTGTGTATTGTGTACAATAAATAATAGAGAGTAAAATATAAAAAAATATCTGAACAAGTTTTAATGAGCACTGCATATGGATTTGTGTGATGCACAGAGCCCGTGACCGAAACGGATGCAGCCGCAGTGGTTTTTATCCTTTCTCTTGTTGACTAAATTAATAACCTAGTTTCAATTTCACCTTTACTGATATTACAAAAGTAAACAACTGAATTGTTTAAATATATTGTATTGTATTGTAAAATCTTTATTGCACATAATTCAAATTGAGCACTGATAAATGATTTAATATACAATGGCGGACTTATCCCATTAAGGGATCTCTTACAGTCAACCTTTGAGAAGTTGAAAGAAAACTATAGAATGTATAAGGGTAATAACTGTACAGCTAAAGATAAACTAAATAATACCCAGTAAAAAATTAAATATATATTACAATAACAACATCTCTATATACCTACATATGTAAATAATAAAAGTACATGAACAATAATATAACATTAATACATAAATAAATAAAAACTTACACACGTATATACATATATATACATACATACACGCAAACACATACCTACACACACACACATATATATATAAACACATACATACAAATACATCATAAGCAAATAAACTATTGAACAGAATCAGGTGAAATTTTCTATTTTTTTTTGGGAAACAATTAATTTCTTATTACACTTAGTACATACATATACTTTTTTATACCACTGAGGTGGCAAACAAGCATACGGCCACCTGATGGTAAGTGGTTACCGCAACCTATGAACACCTGCAATACCAGAGGTATTACACGTGCGTTGCCGACCCTGAAGAAACCTCTTTACCCCCCTTTTGAAGAACCCCATGCTGTAGTCTCTTGAGAAAACTTCGGCAGGGAGCTCATTCCATAACCTGAGTGTTCGTAAGAGGAAATCATCAACAACTGCTTCACGGTTGAAACACGAATGGGACAGAGGTACCCAAGCAATCGACTTTTGTACAAAACCTTCCCCTTAGAGGGAATTTTGGCAGTAATTTGCCACGCTTGACAGGCGGATCGGCAACCGCAGTTAGGCTTTTAGAGACGCTTTAAGAAAGACGATACTGCCAATACCTCGCCATCCCTTAGTCGACTCTTACGACACCCACAGGAAAGAAAGGGATGGCGTATTCTATGCCGGGACCACACGGCGACTTTTATTAGACACAACTTTTAGAAGACAAAAATATATGATATAAACTAAACAAATTAAGCTAAATTTAACGCAACCGAAGTTATGAAAACAGTAACTTAATATACGAAATAAAGCGCAGATCATTAATTCTGCGTGTTAGCCTTTCGCGTGCTGAACATTCACATTTGTTTTCCCCGTGACAGGTTATGCGTCAGTATTTTGACGTATGAAAATGTAATGATGTCCCACCTACATTATTTTGTACCAATATAAATCAGATAGGATCGTGTCCTTTCCGAAGGAGTTAGACCAATATTTCCCTATATTTTTTGTGCCATACCCCATTTGAACATTTCTAAAATGTTTATGCCCCCATACATAATTTTTCCCGACAAAGTTTACTTGATGACTCTAATCGACCAGTTGATATTTTGGTAACGTCAAACGAAATTATAGCTAATAAATATATGCAGCATTTTTTGCAATTTTTTCAATGGGGGGTATCATGGGCGAAACAGTATACTCTGTTATGCCCATGGTACTGCTCATGTCTATAGTCAACACGTTACAGATATATACACACATATGTATTTATGAGGAGACTTTGTACAAAAGTCGATTGCTTGGGTACCTCTGTCCCATTCGCGTTTCAACCGTGAAGCAGCTATGTTTGCATGGCTGTGTTTCGGTTTGAAGGGTGGGATATGGCGTGAATTTACTGGGTACAGAAGAATAACACCTGAGTCCTCAGGAATGGCAACGCATGGGGGGTATCATGGATGAAACGGTATACTCTGTTATGCCCATGGTACTGCTCATGTCTATAGGCGACGGTTACCACTTACCATCAGATGGGCCGTCAGCTTGTTTGCCATTCTAAGTTGTATAAAAAAAATACTTGTATTATACAACATAAATGTTCTCGTATGATCAGAAATTCAGTTTTCTAAACTTAATACTTTTGGCAATTTGTTGATAGTTAGAACAAGTGATTTCACAAGTATAGATAACGCATAAGTATACTTGATGCACTGAAGAGGTGAAGGCTGTCTCTCATTAATAGACTTCATGCCCTTCCCTATCAGAGGTTAATCTCCGACCGTTAACTCTACACCGATATTGCAACACGTGTTCAGCCTCTAAACGAGGCTTCGTCTGGTAATTAATTTAACTACACTTGTAAACCTTATGTTATAGGGTGATATTAAATAGCATCCTTATAAGAGAGTCTACATGGGTATCCCCGTCCCGCTCATGTTTTGGTCGTAAGTAGCG